ACAGGGTTTGTTTCTGCAGTCTTCTCAGCTGTAAATTTCCTATCTCTGGTGATAAGGATGTCCTTTTACTTCTTAGTACAGGAAGGGTAACTTTCATATGAGAGACTGATTTCCCGCTTTTGGTGGGGGGAACGGAGGAGGGTCTGAGTGTCTTTGTACTACTGGCTGCTTCCCCAGCAGCTTCAGTTCAAAATAATCAGTATGCCATTGTACATTGTGGGTGGTCTGCCCTTGGCCCCTACAGAAGCTGTAGATAAAACAGCACACACTGTAAAGTTGCATTTATTTTTTTTAAAGATTTTTAGTTATTCATTTGAGAGAGAGAGAGAGAGAGAGCGACAGAGAGCACGAGCAGGGAGCACAGGGAGAAGCAGGCTCCCCACTGAGCAGGGGGCCATACTCTGGCTTGATGCCTCCTGGGATCCTGACCTGAAGACAGACACTTAACCAACTGAGCCACCCAGGCACCCCTGAAACCTATACTTTAAAGGAGTGATTTTACTGTATGTAAATTACAATTCAATTTAAAGTTGATTTTTATTTTTATTTTATTTTTAAGTAGGCTCCACATCCAGCGTGGAGCCCAACTCGAGGCTTGAACGCATAACCATGAGATCATGACCTGAGCTGAGCTCAAGAGTCAGACACTTAACCCACTGAGCCAACCGGGCGCCCCTAAAGTTGATATTTTAAAATTTTTATTTATTTATTTGACACAGAGAGAGAGATCACAAGTAGGCAGAAAGGCAGGCAGAGGGGGAGGAGGAAGAAGCGAGAGCCCAATGTGGGGCTTGATCCCAGGACCCTGAGATTATGACCTGAGCCAAAGGCAGAGGTTTTAACCCACTGAGCCACACAGAAACCCATAAAGTTGATTTTTAACCCTGCCACAAAATGGATTGAATATCCACAATTTAATGAGATTTGTCCTATTTCAATATGGTGCCATATGCAAGTTTGAGGACCTATGGGATGCCTATGAGAGGAGCCTCTAAAATAGACTTGGTGGTTCGGGAAGAACTGAATGAAATGAACAGATCCAACAAGTAGGAAATAGTCTTATTAGCCTGGTGAAAATTATGGGAAAGCAGGGGCACCTGGGTGGCTCAGTCGGTTAAGCATCTACCTGACTCAGGTCATGATCTCAGGGTCCTCGGATCCAGTCCTGTGTCAAGCCCCACCTCGGGCTCCCTCCTCATCGGGGAGTCTGCTTCTCCCTCAGCCCCTCCCCTCTGCTTGTGCTCTCTCTCAAGTAAATAAACAAAATCCTTTTTAAAATTAGGGAAAACAAAGAATACAAAATATCCCGGGCAAAGGAATAAACAATCTAGAGTCTGGCCCATGTCAGATCCAAGAATGGTCCGATTCCTAAGCCAGAGACTTCGGCCCATCCTGGATTCCTCTTTTCCCCAACTTCCACTTCCCAACTAATTCCTAAGAGTTCTAATGAATCTCAATATCACCTTTATCTTTCCATCCTCTTTGTCTTGAAGCCCTCAGTAGCTTTCATCCACAAAACACTCTTTGCTGGACTTGACCCATGTTCCATCCTTCCACAATCTACGTGCAACGTCAGCCCCATGATGAATATTAAAACACACATATAATCCCATCAGTGCTCCAGTCAGTATCTTTCCATTGTTCCCCAGTGACTACACGGTAATTGATATATGCCTTTGCGTGGCTTACAAGAGTTTTCCTGACTTTTTTATATTAACCACACTGTCTCATCCTTCAGAGCCTCAGAGACAGGTGGTCCTCTTAGATTCGAGTCAAGTCTCAACGAATGTACTACTTTCTCTATGGAGATGGTCCCTGCCTCAACTGGGGCAGATTTAAATGGTTTTTATCAGTGGTGCCTGGATAGCTCAGTCAGTTAAGCATCCAACTCTTGGTTTTGGTTCAGGTCATGATCTCGGGGTTGTGGGATCGAGCCCTCTCACAGGTTCCACACTTATGGGGAATCTATTTGAGGATTCTCTCTCTTTCCCTTTCCCTCTCCCTCTGTCCCTCCCCCCACTTGCACTTTCTCTCTCTCTAAAATAAATAAATCTTTTAAAATAATGTTCTTTATCTTATAGTCCCGAAGTGCCATATACAAGCACCAAGTCATTATCATACCCTAAAAAAACATAATACAAATGATTGTTGTTATCATGGTTATCATGGCAAGTCCCATTTATTGAGTGCTCAGATATCTACATCTGTTCTCACTGAATTCTCATAAGGAACCCAATATATAAGTTTTGTTTCACCTACTTATCATAGGAAAAAACAATGGCTTAAGGAGGTAATGAAATTTGTCCAGTGTCATACAGCTAGTGTGACTGAGTATGGACTGAAGCCCTTCTTAACCAAATCCCAAACTGAGACGCCATAGACATGCTTTTCCACTACATCCAACCGGATTCTAAATTCCTGGAAAACTTGGACGGTCCTTTTGCAGCAATGTATCCATAGTTCATAGTAAGGTGCCTGGGACACATGAAGTACTTAATAATGATAAGTGACTGACCTACAAATGAGTGGAAAAGCCAATTAATCAAGGTCTTGCAGAGAAGATTGGCAAATGAATTGTGAAAGCATTATACCAATATCAGGCATTATAGCATGTGTTAACCAACTAAGATATATAACGTGCTAAAGATGAGAGAGGCTGAATGCATCAATGTAACTCACCAGCAATATACTAATCTTTCAAATTTCAAACATGTTGCTGTAAAAACATGAATTCTGTTGCTAGCACTCTCTTGTGTCTGTACATTATAATGTCATATAGAGATTTTGGGATGTATAAGAAATTATTAGGACAATTCATAAGTCCAAAATTATGCAAGTGCTCAGAACAATATACAGATCTACTAATGAGGAGACAATTCTTTAACTGAAGAAAAACTGATATACACTACTGTAATAGTTTTAAATGTACCACATAGTGATTTAATATTTATATACATTATGAAATGGTGACCCCAATAAGTCTAGTCACTATCTGTTACCATGCCACATTGTTACAATATTATTGACTATATTCTGTATGCTGTACATTACATCCCTATGACTTATTTTCTAAATTTTTAAAAAGATTTTATTTATTTATTTGACAGAGATCACAAGTAGGCAGAGAGCCAGGCAGAGAGAGAGAGAGGGGGAAGCAGGCTCTCCGCCGAGCAGAGAGCCTGATGTGGATCTCGATCCCAGGACCCTGAGATCATGACCTGAGCTGAAGGCAGAGGCTTTAACCCACTGAGCCACCCAGGCGCCCCACTTATTTATTTTCTAATTGAAAGATTGTGCCTCTTACGCCCCTTTACCTATTTCATCCCCACTTTGGCAAACAAATCAGTTGGTTCTCTGTATTTATGAGTCTGTTTGTTTTGTTTGCTCATCTGTTTTAGCTGAGATTCCATGTTCAAGTGAAATCATACAGTACCGGACTGATCTTTCTCTGTCTGACTCATTTCACTAGGGGTCGATTCTGATGGGGAGGAGAGGATCGCAAAGTATGCTGGCTTCTACAAAACGTTTTCTGAAGAGCTGTGCAAGCCCACCCAGCAGAAAAAAAAAAAGAATGAAGAATGTGTACACGCTCAAGAGGCCAATACAGAGGTTAAAGGCGAAAATTGCACTGAGATTAATTTTTTCTCCCTCTCCTTCCCTGTCTCTATTTAAAAGCTGGTGAACTGCCTCACATCTTCTACTCGTTTCAGAGTGAAATGACATACAGGGTCTGGAATAAAGGGAGTCACGTGGACAGCAGAGACCAGGGAGTTTTTCTCTTGAAGACACTGATATGAGCATGGGAGGAGTTATTGGATAAATTGTGTCTCCCCCAAAACCCACAGTACCTTAGAACATGACCTTATGTGGAAATAGGGTCTTTAGAAGGTACCCAAATTATATAAGTTCATTAGAGCAGCACTAATCCAGAAGGACTGGTTTCCTTATGAAAAAGGGGAAATTTAAACAAAGAGACAGATACACATAGAGGGAAAATAATGTGAAGAGACTTAGGGAGAGGGCAGCCAACTACCAGGCGAGGAGAGAGGCCTCGAAGGGCCCATCCTCACAGGCCTCAAAAGGAACGGACTTTGCTCATACCTTGATTTTCAACTTCTAGCCTCCAGAACCCTGAGAAAATCAGTTAATTGCTGATTAAGCCCCCCTGTTCATGGTGCTTTGCTACGGCCACCCAGGCAAATAAACACAACCACACTTGCAATTTTTCTTTGTGGAATGAAACATTTTTGGGTTGAAAATCAGAATCTTGAGATTCCTGAATTAGAAACGAGGCAGAGTTGACTGAGTGCTGCCTTGTAAGCTCACCTTTTTTTACTCTAATGGGATACTTAACTTTCGCAGCTATAGAGGAGCTGGCGGAGGCTTCTCTCAGCACTGTAGATTTCGGAGGTCAGCGCAGAGGAAGAGTAAGAAGTAACATATTTCCATTTCTGCCCTTCAGAGAAATTTGTAATTTCATCAACCAGGTTTGTGCTAAATTCACAATCACACTTCTGCATTCCCTTCTCCTCTACTCACACAATCAAGGCTCTATAAATGTAAATGCTTTTTCTAAAGAACCTGTCACTCTGCTGATTCCCTGAATAATGCATTAAATAAAATTTGACGGGTGTTCAGCAACATATGTGTGGGATTCCTGATTTGTCACAGAAAGGTGTTGCACCTTCAAGCAGCTTTTTGGAAAGGAGGAAAGGTTTTCCAGAAGCCTCCCAGCTGCCTTTTCCTGATACCCCCTTGGCCAAACTCAGATGGAGGTCCACTTCCTGAGGGGCACGGAGCTGACTGGATTGGAAGGGTCAGCATGTGGGCCCCAACGACGGCGGATGGGGTGCGCGTCCCCAGGACCACCACACGACCCCCTGCTGTGTTTCACCATGTCAGATTCAACCTCAGCCACAGAGCAGCAGGGGACACGCCTGCTCAATGACACCCACGGACCCCGCGCACCGGCCGGGGAGGCAGGGGTGCCACATTCACCGAGACTCAATTTCTTTTTAATAGCGTCTGACATTTATTGAAAAGAAGGAAAAGACGTTTGTCCAGGTAGTGTAGAAGAGCTGGGCAGAGTGCAGGGCTTAACTACTGTGTGGAACAAAAGGCACACATCAGAGAGACAGCTGCGAACTGAGAAGAGAACTGGGTTCTGGGCAAAACGAACAGGTCCACGGGAGAAAGAAAACGAGCGGCTGGATCTGGCTGCCAGGCACCCCTGGGACCCGGCCGCCATCTGGCAGGAGCAGAAGAGGTCTCTGGGAGGAGGGGGCGACGGGTCCCGCCGCAGGTGAGAGGTCGGCCCGCCCCTCCGGGGGGGGGGGGCGAGTGGGTGGCGAGCTGCTGGAGTCACTGTCCAGGGGCCGCGGCCGGCTCAGACACTTCTTGGGGGAGCCCACATCGCTGGGGCCCCAGGCCGTCGAGGGCGCGCGGTGGACGGCGGTGGCAGCGCGGGTGTCCGGGCGGCGCGCTGCAGGCCTGGCGGTCAGTCTGGCGGAGGCGGCCCGCGGCGGCCGGGCTGTGGGTGGTCTGGCCCGTGTGTAATGGGAGCCTGGCCCGCAGCTGGAGCGCGGGCCCGAGTCCAAGTGCGCACGGGAGGGGCCTGGCTGGCGGCCCAGGGCGGCGGCGCGCTCTGGAGCCAGGCCCAGAGGTAGCGGTGGGGACCTGGAGCGCTATTCCTGGAACAAAGGCAAGCACTACGCGGGAGGGGACAGCAGCGTGGGGGAGAGCGCGGCCACTCGAGCGCGGCGAAGGTGGGGGGGGCGGGAGGCGCGGCGGGGCGACGCCCGCTGCCATCTGGGCGGCGGCGGCGGCGGCGGCTGCGGGCGCGGCGGACCCTCCCCCGAGCACCCGCCCCCAGGCCCGAGGGGCTCCCGGCCTAGAAGTCCTCGTCCTCCACCCAGCCAAACACCCGTTTCATCTCGGCCAGGAAGCCCCGGTAATCATTGAGGAGGGGGCTCTCCTTCCTGATGTAGGGGATCACCCACTGCAGGGCCGGCCCGGTCAGGCGGGTGATGAGGAACGTCACCTTCAGGGCGTCGCTGGAGAACAGGGTCTCGTCCACCAACATGTAGGCGCCCGTCTGCACGATGAACTCCGGCAGCCGGTCGGTGTCGCCGTCAAACGTCTCGGGGAAGGGAATCGGGTTCCTCCACCGCCGGGTCTGGGGCCGCAGGGGCAGGGCCAGGAGGGCCTTGATCAGCTGCACCCTGCCGTCCATCACGCCGCGCTCGCGCTGGCTGGGCACTGCTGGGCGGGGCTGGTCGCGGTGGGCGGGGAGGCGTGGTGGGAAGTGCGTGTACTCAGAGGCGGGCCCCGGCCCGGGGGCGTGGCCTGCGCAGGCTCCGCCCACTAGTACGAGTGGTCGCTTGAGCGCAGGCGCGATGGCGGGGGCGGTGGGCTCGGAAGGGAGCGATCGCGGGAGCGTGTGGCCCAACCGCCGCTGGAGGAGGCGGGGTCAGAATGCAAGGGTGGTTCCCACGGTGGGGGGCGGTGGCCTGCGAGGGGCGGGGCTAGGGGAGGAGCCCAGGACACTAGGTTCTCTTTGGTGAGGGCGGAGCCGGGTGCACGTGGAGAAGGGAGGGCCAAGTGTTAACGTTTTGAGGCGTCTGTCTGGTGTGCTTGGTCTCTGCTGGTCACTCGCCTCTCCCAGTGCCTTAGAGGACCCTTTGCCTCTGTACGCCCTTTGCATGAGTTTCTGTGAACCCATTTTCCTGCTTATTCATGCATCTCTTTGCCAAAGGTTATTGGCACCCAGGCAGCAGATGTTCCCCGCAACATTAATGAGAAAACCCTGAATGTTACCATCATAATGTAGAGAGCAGATTTAAGAATGATGTATAATGACTTGGAAATGTAAAATTGTTGGAAGTTAGGAAGACTGTTAATATGCTATATTAAGAGACCAAAAGAAAATAATCAATATTGTAACTGGAAGACAAATGTGAGTTGTTGAATGCTTTAAACGTGACTTTATACATGTTCCTACATTAAGAAAAAAGGAAAAGAATAAGATTTATCAAATTGGAAGGGAGGGGCACCTGGCTGTCTCAGTCAGTAGAGCATGCAACTCTAGATCTTGCAGTGGTGAGTTTAATCCCTACATTAAGCTAGAATTGACTTATAAAATGGAAAGAAGGGGAAATTAGCCATGGTATGTTATATCTGAATTCATATTTGTGACTGAGTACAAATTAATTTAAATGTATCTCCAGCTTTCATATATACAGAAAATAATCAGTTGAAATGTATAGTGACATTAAAGACCCTATTCAGAATAACAACTCAAAGGAAACAGTGCCAGGAATATGTATTTTAATTGTATAAAAACGCAGGAAGAAGTGTCTTAATGGTTAAAGACGAAGATAAAAGAATATTCTAACAAGTGGAATGATACCTCCAGATCTGGGATAGGATAACTCAATGTCATAAAGACATTACATTTCCCTAATTTAAATTATACTTTCAACACATGACCAGTGATTGGGTCAGGCTATGTGCCAATATGACTTTTAATCCAATGATGTGTACTATTTCCCCCTCAACATAATCTTACCAGAAACACAAAGAGAACATTTTTAATTAGACAAGCTGATTTTAACTTTCATATGGAAGAATAAACAACCAAAATGAGGGTGGAAATTTTTGAAATTCAAGGGTATTGACGGATGACTTGTTTCAAGAGATATTCACAAATATATCATTATTTATTAGTTGGTTTTTATTATCTTTTATCCTGACTAAAATGCAAGAAGCGGGCAACCTCAGATTATCTTTTTTTTTTTAAAGATTTTATTTATTTATTTGACAGACAGAGATCACAAGTAGGCAGAGAGGCAGGCAGAGAGAGAGAGGAGGAGGCAGGCTCCTCGCTAAGCAGAGAGCCTAATGTGGGGCTCGATCCCAGGACCCTGGGATCATGACCCGAGCCGAAGGCAGAGGCTTTAACCCACTGAGCCACCCAGTCGCCCTCTCAGATGATCTTGATGTTAAACAATTGTCTCTGATCTCGATTTTTGTTTTGTTTTTTTTTTTTCAGTAAATGCCCTGACGATAGGGCTTTCTCACAGCTACCTCCCAGTCAGGTTAAATAAACAATGTCCTAGAATGAGACTTTTTCAGGGAGCTGTAACAGGTGAAATAGTGTCAAATGCTCTAGGTTGGGACTTTCAACCTGGTCTGCCATAGCCACACGTTTGCACTGTGAGACTGCTTCCTTCATGAGAGCCTTCGGTACCTGGATTGCCCTCGTCAGACTTCAACGTCCCTGCCTCATGGCTGTGTCATCATCCTCTCGCAGAAAGCCTGAGAACCAACCCCAGATATCCAGGATCAGAATCCTTTCCTATCTCCCAGCTTCCACATGGAACAAGACTCAGCTACCCTCTGTGCTTTGACTTTTCAGGGTGGCAGGCACTGACGAAGGAGTCCATGACAGGGACTCCCTCCTTCAGTGGCTGTGTGTAAGCCCAGGTCAGACTCAGCTTACAAGGTCAATAGTGGACCAAAAGATGTATCATAAGAAAATATCCAGAATGAAACACAAAAAGAAAAACAGAGGAAAAATACAGGTGACATAAGACACATAGATGATTGTATGAAAAAAAAAGATGACGCTTAATAGGAGTTTCAGAAGGACAGGAAAGAAAATGAGACAAAGCAATATTTGAGCAGATATTAGTTGAGAACAAACAGCTCACAGAGAAAAATGAAAGAAATCTACACGTAATAGCATCTTAGAAAAGCTATTGAAAACCAAAGGCAAATAGAAAAAATCTTAAACTATCAGAAGAGAAAAGCAAATTACCACCATAGTAGCAGTAATTAGTTCAAGAGCTGACTTCTCAACAGTAAAAAATAGAAACCAATAGAAAATAGAATATCATCTTCTATGTACTGAAAGAGAATAATTCCCGGTGGAAACCTCCTTGCCCTGCCGCAATATATTTCAAGAACGAAGATGAAAAAAGACATTTTTATACACACGAGAAAGAGAAAAACCTGAGAGAATTTGTCACCAGCAGAATAGTACTTCAAGAAAATACTAACAAATATTCCTTAGGCCGAAGAAAAAAATTTAAAATAAGTGAAAAGTGATGGATTGGAAAGATATATGGGCCAATCTCAGAGAATACTGCCTTATGGGGTTTAAAATGCAGAGAGATTGGGGTGCCTGTGGGTTAAGCATCTGCCTTCAGCCAGCTCAGGTCCTGATCCCGGGGTCCTGGGATTGAGCCTGGCATCCGGGCTCCTGGGCTCCCTGCTCAACAGGGAGTCAGTCTGCATCTCCTTTTTCCTTTGCCCCAGCCCCCCAATTTGTGTTCTCTCTCCCTCAAATAAATGAATAAATCTTTTTAAAAATATGTATGATAATAGTAAGAGGTTCAATTCACTAGGAATATGTAACAGCTATTGTTTTATGCACCTCTTAACAAATTAAAAATATATAATGGCAATTGGAGAGATACTCTAGGAGAAATAGAATTGCAAACCCACTATCATGGTAGAAGATATTTAATACAGTTTTCTCAGTGACTGATAGAACAAGCAGAAAAAGAATCAGTAAGGAAATTAAATATTTTTCATAGCAAATAGGGTCTAATGGAGATGCACAGAACACCACTAACAATGAGTGAAGAATGTATATTCTTTGAAGGCGGGAGGAGGGATTGAAATGAAAATGGAAAAAAGCACGGGGGAGGTGCTTTTGGGGTGATGGAAATGTTTTCTTTCTTGACTTGAGTGGAAGGTTCTTCCCATTTTCATTTGAACACTTTCCTATGAGTCATATATCCAAAAATGGGGGGGGGGCTGTTTAATTTTGTTAAACTGGCAAAGTTTAGTATTTACAGATGCAAGCTTTGTCGGTGAAACTAAAAAGAAAGGGAAGAGATTATTATGAAAGTCAGGATAATGGTGACCTTTGAGAGGGAGGAAGAATATTGTGATTAAGAGGGACCAGGTGTGGGGTTTCAAGGTGGTTGTCCAGTTGTACTTCTTTTAGTGGATGATAGTTCCAAGTTTTCTTTTTTTCTCTGGGATAAGTCATTGAGTTGTGCATTTCTGTGAGGTCCTGATATATATGTATATATCGCAATTAGATCAGAGTGTGTGTGTGGAGGGGGGTGCTCTGGGCTTGGGGGTAGCCTTGTCTTTCTGTACCACAGAGACAGGTGCAGCACAGGCTTGGCCTTTGCTGTGTTTACTTGTCCCCGGTGCTCACAACCCGCCTGATTCTCACAAGGGAAGTAAATGGCTTCATCATTTCCTTGGAATCATCCCTTGTCCTTTAAACTGCCTCCGTTCTCTCATAGGCCCCATCAGCTCTCATCGGTGTGCATTTCAGCCTGGTGTACTCTCCTGGCAGACTGGCCCATGGTAGCCAACCAAATCTTCCAGAGCCCTTTGCCAACTCCTCTGTCAGAGTCCCACTCCCACTGTGCCTCCTGGCCAAATCAGTCATTGGATGAGAGAGTTTGGGAGGTCCACAAGAGGGAGTATTTCTGGAGATGTCCCAGTGAAAGGTTCTATTTCAGTACCTATATGTGTACCTCTTGAATCCCCATATATACCGTGCTCTATACTGAGCTATAGTATATATGGGAAACTGGTGATACATGTAGAAAGGAGATATGAGACATAGACAAATGAAAAATTAGGACTACTTGATTTATTAATTAGCATGGAGAAATTACCATAGATGAAAGTGATAAAGTTGTGGAACAAACAATGGGAGAACTGGATTATGCGCTTAGAATGGTATTAGAAAAATGCAGATTTATATGAGCTGTGTTGGTATGGGAAGGCTCCAGACACCAAGAAAGGGCCTGGCATTAACCCAATGAATATTACAACAGCCCAGTGAGATGATACTTATTGGCACATTCATTTAACAGATGAAAAAACTGAGGCACAAAAATCACTGAGAGTCCCCAGAGCTGTACCCCTGAAACAAATAATACATTATATGTTAATTTAAAAAAAAACATCGAAAGTTATCCAGCTGATAGGAGGAAGTGACAGTATATGAATCCAAGCAGCAAAGGTGCAGCCCAGCAATGTGACCACCAGCCATAATGCCCAGTGGATAAGTAGTGATTGGTAGTGCCTCTCGGACACGTAGAAATCCAGGGCATTGGCCTGGGATAAAGTGTAAATGGGACAGGAAAGATTAGTGACACAAAGATGAAGGAGGCATACGAGATCTGAGAGACGAACTGTGTGGTATTGCTCATCACATACCGGGCATTGAAAG